AGGGGGAGGAGGAGGACGAGGAGGAGGAGGAGGAGGAGCAGGAGGAGGAGGAGGGAGGGAGGAGGAGGAGGAGGAGGAGGAGGAGGACTAGATGCCGAGCTCGTTGATCCACAAGGATGTAGTCGATCTGTGTTTGCGTGTGCTTCGAGCCCGAATGTGTGTACGTGAAAACGTTACGAGGGTGTTTGCGGAACATCGTGTTTGTAATGATGAGTTTGCGCATGCACGCCCATGATCGTAGCCAGGCGCCACGTTGATTACACCCGCTCTGACCGTAATTGCCGATAGTTCGCTTCTCTGCGTCGTGGATGCTGTCGTCATCGGTGTTGTCGCTCCGTATTCCCACTTGCGCATTAAAATCGCCTGTGAGTATGAACGGCCGCTTCATCTTCGTGGTGTCGGCGTGAATTGCGGAAATCATATCGTACATGCTTTGGACGTGCTGGTCTCCATATCCACCGTGTGGAAAATAAGCCGTGGTGATCCGGAGTTGGCACTGCGGCAAGTCGATGTCGATGTAGGCAAGCCGCTCGCTCACAGCCGTGAAGTTATTGATGCGTCGGGCGTGTCGTGAATGTACCAAGAAAGCGACGCCTCTTGTCGGATGTTCATGCCCAGCAGCTGCGAATACATGTCCACCAAGCTTGGTAATCCACAGCTCTTGCTTCGTAATGCGCCATGTTTCGTTGAGTGCCAGAACGTCCCAGTGGGTATCCGTAAGCTCATATATCAGTAAATCGATCGCCGCGTCATTGGTGAGGCCCCGGGCGTTTTTGTGGATTATCGTCACTGCTTCATCGATGCGGTTTTCCAGACAACCGGTAATTTCCTCTGTTTGGTCGTCAGCGTTTGCATGCACCGTCCTTGATGTAGGTGTTGTCGCATCGTGCTGCTTGGTTATGACCTGTCGCTGTCGTGGAGGGTTTTGAGGCTGAAAACATGTAGGTAGGTCGCCCTCGGTATTGCTGTATCGTCCTCGCCCTTCGCCAGTGCTGCATTGGAGCTGCTGCTCCTGCTGGGGGTCGGAGTCGATAGCTGGTGGTGAACGCTCGGAATCGGAGGGTCGAAGCTGGACGTTGGTCAGGTGGGGTTGAGGGTGGATAGGTTGAGGTCGAAAGCTAGAGGTGGAGTGGTGGAAGTCGATAGCTGGTAATTGACGCTGAGAGACGTAATATGGGAGCTGGAGGTCGAATGGGTGAGGCTGAAGGTCGATGGGTGGAGGTCGAAGGCTGGAGGTGGAAAATTGGAACCAGGTAGCTGGTAATGGACACTGTGAGTCAGAATCTGGGAGCTGGAGGTCAGTTAGGTGAGGTTGGGGGTCAATAGGTAGAGGTTGAAAGGTGGAAGTCAAAAAAATGGAGTCGATAGCTGGTGGTGGGCGCTGTGGGCCGGAAGGTCGAAGCTGGAGGTCGGCCAGGCGGGGTTGAAACTCTGTAGGTAGAGGTCGAAAGTTGGAGGTCGAAGGCTGTGGGACGATAGCTGGTGGTGGAGGCTCGGAATCGGAATGTCGAAATTGGACGCTGGTCAGGTGGGGCTGACGGTCGATAGGTTGAGGTCGAAAGCTGGAGGTGGAAAGGTGAAGTCGATAGCTGGTAATGGACGTTGAGAGTCGTAATGTGGAAGCTGGAGGTCGACTGGGTGAGGCTGAAGGTCGATGGGTGGGGGTCGAAGGCTGGAGGTGGAAGATTGGAACTCGGTAGCTGGTAATGGACACTGTGAGTCAGAATCTGGGAGCTGGAGGTCAGTTTGGTGAGTTGGAGGGTGGAGGAGTCGAGGTGGAGCTGGAGCTGGAGCTGGAGGAGGAGGGAGGAGAAGGAGGGAGGAGGAGGAGGGGCCGCCGCCTCCAGACGGCCCGCCGCCTGGCGGGCCAGCCCTTGCGAGCGCTCCGGGGCTCTCCGGGCCCAGACCCGGGTCAGCCAGGCCCTGCAGAGTCCTGCCAAGGTCCTGCGGGAGCCTGCGCCCCAAGCCCGGGTCGATGCGGAGGATCCTGCAGGAGCCTGCGCCCGATTGCAAAAAAAACCTGGGTTTTTTTGCAATCCTGGGTTTTTTTGCAATCCTTCGCCCGGGTCAATGCGACCCTGCCCCTGCAGGATCCTGCAAGATCCAGCGCTCTGGCTGACCCCCGTTTGCATCGACGCCCGTCTCCCAAGGCTCCCGAGCGCTCCGGGGCACGGCCTCTCTGGTCCAGCTCGGAATAGTGCGCCCACGCACGGAGGAAAAGAAGACAGCACAGGCAGGACCGCTCGAGGCACAGCCGATCCAACTGCCCGATCCGATGCTGGCTGGTCTTGCTCTGGCGCAAGCAGCATGCCTTGGGGGGGGGGGAAGCCACACCTCAGAGGAGGAGGAAGATGATGGTGACGCTACCCTCGAAGGAAAACAACCTGCCAAGCTGAACTGTTCGGGGCCTCGCGAAGGTTCCTTGGACCTGCGTTGGGCCCCCCTGGGCGGCGTCTCCGGCGCCGCCCCCAGCGAGCTCCGCACGCCGGGATGGGGGCCACCACCGATCCAAGAGACCTGCGCGGAGCTCCGACTTCTGCCCCCAACCATCCTGTGGAGTTGGGGCCTCGCTTTGAGAAGGCAGCGTCCCGCGTCTCCCCTCCTCTCCTTCCTCCTCCCCCTCCCCCTCCTCCCTCCCCCCCTCCTCCCTCCTCCCCCCTCCTCTCCTTCCCCCCCCTCCTCTCCTTCCTCCTCCTCCTCCCCCCCCTCCTCCTCCCCCCCCTCCTCCTACCCCCCCCCTCCTCCTCTCCTTCCTCCTCTCCTCTCCTTCCTCTCCTCCTCCCCCTCCCCCTCCTCCTCCCTCCTCCCCCTCCGTGCCTCTGCCCTCCGTGCCTCTGCCTGTTCCGGCACACCCCTCACAGGGTGCCGCGGCCCCACGGGGAGCTCCACCGAAGGCCCACGTGCCAGCGTTCGAGTGCGCCCACCGCACCCATTTCGGCACGTACACCCCTCGCACGCCTCGTGGACACACAGGGAGCTCCACCGACGGCCCTATGGGCAGTGCCGCTGTCCAACATGCGTCCGCGCTTCCCTTTTCGGCACTCCCTTCACATGCTTCGTGGTCCCATAGGGAGCTCCACCGATGGCCCCCATTGGCGGTGTCCACATGCGCCCACGCCACCAATTTCGACACACCCGTCCCACGCTTCATGGCCTGACTCCGCGCCACCCATGTAGGCACACCCATCACACGCTTCGTGGCCCCATAGGTAGCTCCACAAGGTCCAGAAATTCCGTAGGGAGCTCAACCCAAAGCCCCACTGGCTGCGTCCACATACGTACCGCGCCCATTTCGGCACACCCATCACACGTTTCGTGGCCCCACAGGGAGCTCCACCGAAGTGTCCGCGCGCGTACGCGCCTCCCACTTCGACACGCCCCTCACATGCTTCGTGGCCCCGCAGGGAGCTCCACACAAGGCCCCAGTGGGCGTGTCCACACGCGTCCGCGCCACTGATTTCGGCGCACCTCTCACACGTTTCGTGGCCCCACCATAGGAAGCTCCGCCGAAGGCCCCAGTGGCGGTGTCCACTGCGCCAGCGACATCCACGTTGGGACACCCCTCGCAAGCTTCATAGCCACATAGGGCGCTCCACCGACGGCCCCACTGGCGGTGTCCACATGCGTCCGCGCCAATTCTGGTAACCCCTCACACGCTTCGTGGCCCCATAGGGAACTCCACCGAAGGCCCCAATGGCTACGTCCGCATGCGTCCGCGCCCATTTCGGCAAACCGCTCGCACGTTTCGTGGCCCCATGGGGAGCTCCACCGAAGGCACCACTGTTTGCGTCGACATGCGTCCAGCGCACATGTCGGCGCAGCCCTCACACCGTTCGTGGCCCCATATGGAGCTTCACCAAAACGCCCGAATGGCTGCGTCCCCATGCGTCCCGCACCCATGTCGGGAATCACTCACACGCTTCGGGCCCCATCAGGGAGCTCCACCAGAGGCCCCAGTGGCTGCGTCCACATGCGTCCCGCCCCAATTGTGGCACATCCTGACACGCTTCGTGGCCCCATCGGAAGCTCCACACAAGGCCCCAGTGGCTGCGTCACATGCGTCCCGCGCCCTCGGCACACCCTTCACACGGTTCGTGGCCCTATGAGGAGCTCCATCGAAAGCCCCAAAAGGCTGCGTCCACATGCGTCCCGCGCCTGTTACGGCACACCCTTCACACGGTGCGTGGTCCCATAGGGAGGCCCGCCGAAGGCCCAAGAGGCTGCGTCCACATGTGTCCCGCGCCGATTTCGGCACACCTGTCACACGTTTCGTGGCCCCATACGGAGCTCCACCGAAGGGCCCAATGGCTGCGTCAACATGCGTCCCGCGCCAATTTCGGCACACCCCTCGCACGCTTCATGGTCTCATAGGGAGCTACACCGAAAGCCCAAGTGGCTGCGTCCACATGCGCCCGCGCCGCCGGTGTCAGCACACCCATCACACACTTCGTGGCCCCACAGGGAGCTCCGCTGAAGGTCCCCGTGGCGCCGCCCGCATGCGGCCGTGCTGCGCTCCGCACAGCACCTCGCTCGCCCGTCGTCGCTCTGGCCCACAGCCAGCGCCTGGCCCGTTGTCGGCCAACCACCTAGGCTCCCTTTGCTTCGCGCAGCGGACAGACTGCGCGCGTCGCCTGGCCCACCGCGGACCAGCAAGCGCGCGCCGCGGGGACTCCGCGCTGCGCTCTGCTCAGAGCCGTGGCCACCAGACCGCGAGAACACAGAGGGGGAAACATCTGAGAGCCCACCCTCCCGCTCCGCTCCCCCCGTCTCCTCGACTCCCCTGCCTGCACTGCCCGCGCCTCGTTCGTCCTGCGGCGCGCTGCCTATGAATGCTGCTCGGATTTTGCGCGCCCCCTCCTTCGTCTCATCTCCCTCGCGGTACTCTCAGCTGCATGTGGTTGAGTCCTTCGTCAATCCTGTCGAACCGATCGAACCGAGACCGGGGCTGTGCGTTGGACGCGCGTGGCCAAGGAGCACAACCCGGAGGGACGCCGGCGCACCTGGCGCATCTCGTTTACGATCTTCATCTGCTTTGCCTCGATCTTGTCCTGTGTCACCGTCCGGCCCCGTGCACTCAGTAAGCGGTTCTGTATTCCCTGCTGCATCGTCAACATGGGCGAGAGCAACACGTTGCGACCACGGCGCATGAAGGCGTAACAGCGCGTGGTCGACAAGACGCGGGAGGCACTCTCGGCAGACAACCATGCAACAAGTCAGCATAGGGCGCAAGCACCCTGTGGACGACGCGTGAGCCAAATCGGCATAGAGCGCAAGCACCCTGTGGGTGACGCCTAAAATCAAAACGAACAAGTGTGCGACTTGGGGATACTAAACTGGGCCTGAGTGGGTTAGACGTTGGCACGTTGGCAGCCAGCGGACAAGCGACCCGTTCAAATGCAGCATATTCAAAACTAACGGAGCACACCTTCGCTACGGTCTATACAATGCACCATTGCATGCCGCTCATTCTGTTTGCGCGAACGATCTTCGGATAATTGCCCTGTACGCCTCTCGACAAGGAACGACTAGAACAGAAATAACAACTGGCAGCACCCTTGCCAGGTATAAAGGGCCGAGGACAAGGTTACGACCAGGGTGCGATTCTCCCTCTAAATCTGGAGGGCCCCAGTCGAACGGTGAACTGCGAAGTTTGCTCACTGCTTAGAGATGCACTCCACATCTCAAGCAAAATGCTGGACGGGGAAGGCTTGAAGGGAAAAAAGGAACTGGCGGAGAGAGAAGAGGGACGAGCAGAGGAGGGTGCATGAGGGAGAGGAGGCGTCCAACTACTTGAGCGCACCTCGGCTGCGCACCCTGTCCTGACAAGGCGAGGGAGGAGGTGAGGGGGTGGGAAATGAATGAGGCCTCTGTTAGGTCTGTTTGTCATCTGCACGCAAGGGCGACCCTAAGCAAGGGTGATCTTTACAGATCCGTGCACGCAATGCGGCAATGCCTACCCCCCCACCCCACCCCACCCTTCCGCGCTATCCGAAAAGCCACCAGGTCTCTCTTACGCGTAGCCGAACTTCGAGGCAGAGAGACAGAGGGAGGGACGCGCCAGGAAATTGTGCTCGGACGGCCAGTGTCCTCCAGCTCCTTGCGCTTACCCACCTCCTCCTCGGGTGTCGCCTTCAGCTCCGCCCTGGAGGCAAAACTACTACTACGACCACTCCCCCAGATGACGACTGCTCCAAGACTACTCCGATCGCGATTGATCATATGACTACGGCTGCGACTGCTGGCACGCTTACTCGCAACAATTAAGAACACCATAGTATGTACCGCATGCGCTGCTCCTACCGCGTACATGATGATCGAGTACCTGGCACGATGCACTGAGTTCGTGATGCGTCTAGTACCCCTTCCGATCTGACGCATGCTCACATATACCTCACATTACCCCACTGACCACCACATCATGCCTACTACGTCTTCTAGTCCTGCTACTACTTCCGAGACCGGTCCAACTGCGACTTTACGTGTTGCACGCCTGTATCATTCCAATATTCGTTCTCCTCCTCCTCCCTCCTCCTCCTCCTCTTCCTCCTCCTCATCCCCCTCCTTCCTCCTCCTCCTCCTCATCCGCCCCATCTTCATCTTCTCCCCCTCCTCCTCGTCGTCCTCCTCCACCTCTTCATCCACCTCCTCCTCCCCCTCCTCCTCCTCCTCCTCCTCCTCCTCCTCCTCCCCTTCCGCATGATCATCATCAGCAGCATCATCATCAGCATCATCATGAGTATGAGCATCGTCATCATCAGCAACATCATCATCAGCATCATCAGCAGCAGCATCAGAATCACCAGCCGCATCATCATCCAGATCCTCATCCTCCTCATGCTCCTCATCCTCCTCATTATCAACATCATCAGCACCATCATCATCATCATCAACAACATCATCATCATCATCATCATCATCATCATCATCATCATTGAGGAGGTAAAAAGCAATAGGAAATAATGTTGGATTACTCTGGCGCCGTGGCGACGAATTGCATCGCAAACTCGCTGTCACTACAAGCTTTTCGAGCACTGCATTTGCATTGCGTTGCATGCGTTCGGTGCCACATTTTCGTTCGTTTGAGTTGGTTGGTTTAGGCATTTTTCGGCCAGAGCCTGAAACCATATGAACGCCGAGTCGGGCCGAGTCGGAAGAGAATCCGTTGAGATGGATGCATGGATGCAGCAAGCTGGCGATGACAGCGCGCGGAAGGAAGACAACAAGGGCAGGGCAGAGGAGCGAGGAGCCGCTGCCCCTGGCCCTGCCCACTTCCTGCTCCTGCCCCCCCACCCCTCGCTTCCTTTGCCCCTGCCCCCCCCTGCCCCTGCCCCACCCTGCCCTGCCTCTCCCTGCTCCTCCCCCCCCCCCCTCCCCCCCCCCTGTCGCCTCTCCCCTCTGCATCCTCCTAATCCCAACTCCTCCTCCTCCAGCTGCCCGCCCTGGCCGTTCGGGCTCGGGCCACGCATGGCTGCTGAAGACGTGCTCGCAGGCCGCGTTGCCCGCGGCCCACCCTCTCTCTCTCTCTCTCTCTCTCTCTCCCTCTCTCTCTCACTCTCTCTTTGTCTCCCCTTGAAGGGGGACGAGGGGGCGAGGTGGAGGGGGGGGGGCGGGAGCAGGAGGGAGGAAAGGACGAGAGAGAGAGAGAGAGAGAAGGAAGGATGAGGAGCGATGAGGGAAGGGAGCAGGGAGGGAGGGAGGACGTCAGTGAAGGGATGCGAGGTGTCAGGCGAAATAAACGAGGGATGGAAGGGAAGGGATGAGAGAGGAGGTTGAGGTCGAGGAAAGCAAGTATAGGGCGAAGGAGGAAGAGGAGATAGAAGAGGAGAGAGGAGAAGGAGGAGGAGAAGGAGGAGGAGGATGGCGGTCGGACCGATCGCGGGGCCCGAATCGCGGGGGCCGTTTGTCGACAGACGGACGGTGAGAGCGTGGGAGCGCGGGCGAGAGAAAGAACGAGGAGAGAGAGGCACGCGCGGCGAATCTCTTTCTCTCGCCGCCACCCCCTCCAGTGGAGGGCCCACGTGTTTGCTCCGGGGGCCGACGGCCCCCAAAAAGACAGAGTGGGCGACGCCGCGCGGGCGCCCCGCAGGGGAGGGAGGGGCCAGTGCAGGACTCGACACCCCCCACCATGCAGACAGGCGCGGTCCTGCGGGACGCATCGCCAAATTCGATGGGCCCGATGGGCCCGAGCCGCCTGCCAGCGAGCGAGCTCCCAGCTGCATCTGGCGGCGGCAGGAGAGAGAAGGGAAGATATACGGCCTCATCCTCATCCTCATGCCCTCGTCCTCGTCATCCTGATCGACTCGTCCCCGTGGGCCCCACGGGCCGTATATCTTCCTGATCTTCTACTTGAGCAGGTGCGCTGCGAGAGTGCGGGCCCTCTTGGCCTCCCGCTCGAGCACCGGCGCCGATTCCTCGGCCGCCGAGCGCTGCGGAGGGTCGAAGAACACGCGCGTCCTCGACAACTCGAGGACCTCCGGTGGCGTGACCTTCTCGGCGTCGGCGGGTGCGTCGGCCTCGGCGGTGGGCGCGGCGGTTCTCAAACCTTCTCCGTTCCTCCTCCTCCTCCTCCTCCGCCTCCTCCTCCTCCCCCTCCCTCTCGTTTCTCCCTCCTCCTCCTCGTCCTCCTCCTCATCCTCCAAGCCTCTTCATCATTCTTCATTCTCCATCTTCATGTTCCTCCTTCTGTCCCCCCACCCTCTCGACCTCCACCGCCGTCGCGGTCGCCACCTACCGCTGTCACCACGCCCTTCCTCCCTGGTCGCGCCTCGCTCGTCATCGCGTTCTGCCACGCCTCGTTGCGCACGAGCAGGGCGAGCGTGAACTGCGACGACGGCCGCCACATGTCCTCTGGGTAGCCCTCAGGACGAGGGAGCGTCAGCAGCTCGCGCCGCGCAGCGAGCACCGGTGGCGCCGCGGTGCTCTTGGACAGTCTGACGAGCCACGCTGGACACAGACCCTGCGACGACAGGTTGAGCTGGCTCGCGTCGGGCGACAGGGCGATCGCGTACTTGACGCGGTGGGCTTCGCCACTTGCCGCGAGGCCGTCCGATGGCACTGCAACCTCCATAGAGACGTAGTGCTTTGGCGAAGCCGCGATGCCCTGCGCCTGCACGAAGGCCTTGCCGAAGAGAGGCAACGCGAAGCTGTCAGCAGGGGCGTCGTAGAACGCTTGGCCTTTGACGCACAACTTCGCCTTCCGATCCAACAGTCCGACTGATGGGCCTGATGCGTACTGCCCGTCCACGTACTGCAGCCGAAGCATCTGGCCAGTCAGAGCGTGGGCCACCGCCTGGGCTACGAAATAGGACTTCACCATCGGGTGCTTCTGCGGAGCGACCACCGTGACGGATGCGTCCTGTGAAAACGAATCAAAAATTGTTTCCTCTCCTCTCTTATTATTCCTTCTTCCTTTCCTCCTATCCCTCCTACCCTCTCCTCCTCCTGTTCCCCCCCGCCTGCCTCCTACTCCCCCCCCCCCTTCCTCAGACGAACGGTCCTCTCCCTGCCCCCTCTTCTTCTCCACCCGCCCGCGATGCGGGCGCTTCTGGCCGATGGGCAGCTGGCAGCGCTGGCAGGCGCCCGACGGCCAGACAGACAGAGAGGGCGGGGAGGGTCTGAGAACGGAGGGAGGGAAAGAGGGTGGGAGGGAGGAAGTGAGGGGGTGGTGCGGAGCGAGGCGGGAAGGAGGTTGGCAAGGGGGGGAGCTCGGCGGGGAGGGCGAGGGGGCGTGCGCGGGGGGGGAGGGCGGGAGAGAGAGAGAGAGAGAGAGAGAGAGAGAGAGAGAGAGAGAGAGAGAGAGAGAGAGAGAGAGAGAGAGAGAGAGAGAGAGTGAGAGAGAGAGAGAGAGTGAGAGAGAGAGAGAGAGAGAGAGACAGAGAGAGAGCGAGAGAGAGAGACAGAGAGACTCAGAGACAGAGAAGAAGAATAAGAATAAGAAGAAGAAGAAGAGACAGAGGATAGGCGCGGTATAACAAGATAGCGACTTAACTTGAGGGTCCAGGGTCCTGAGCCTGAGCAGCAGCAACATCTCTGAGTACCGCGTCCACCGCGGCAGCACCCACCGGGGCAGCGACCTTCAGGCTGAACAGGTTGGCCTTGTCCTCCTGCCACTTAGCCGCGGCCGACTCCTCCGCCTGCTTCGCCGCGCGCGCCTCGAGCGTGAGCAGATGGGCCACGAGCGATTCCTTGTTCGCCTGAAAGATGCGAGGAGTTGCAGAAGAAGGGGGAAGGGATGGAGGAGGATGGGATAGAGGGGGATGGGCGCCTGAGGTAGCGTTCCTCCTCCGCCTCCGCTGGGAATCGTCTCTCCCTGGAGGGGGGGGGGGGGGGGCAGGGCAGGGGCAGGGGGGAGAGGTGAGATGGGTAGATGAGCAATGAGCGAATGGCGGTGAACGAACGAAGGATATGGGCGTGCTCGCCTTTGCGGGATCGAACCCTTCTGGGTCCTCGGGCGCGCCGATCATCGAGCGAAGATCCTCAACCTTCTTGCGGGCCAGCTTGGTGGAGATCGAGGTTTCCTGGCGGGACCAGTCGTTGTCCGTCTTGGGAACGCGCGGCGACACCGACGAGCACTGGGAGCCCAGATGGCACCAGTGATTCGCCCACGCGGCGTCTGACGGCCACTCGGCGTCCTCCACGGTCGGCATCATGTCCACGGACGCCACGAGGACCTCGCTGACGTGCTTGACGGCGGCGCAGACGGCGGTCAACTCTGGCGAGGTCGGGCCAGACAACTCGGCATTGTCAGCAACGGTCTCGCTAGCATCGGCGAGGAGACCAGCCATGTAATACCCGCGAAGGGCCATCACAACGTTCGCAACGTCCTGTGACCCAAACACTGAAAGGAGCTCACCAGCCTTCGCGTTCACCTTGAGCACCCCTGTGACGTCGTGCAACCCGTTGAGGATAGTGGCCGCCTTCCTCGCGAGCAACGCGACACTGTTGTCGAGAGTCGC